ACTGGAAGTTTGTACCTGTTGATTCCCTTTATTCATTTCACCCCTCCCCCATTCTCCTTGTCCTCTGGCAACCACCCTCTGTTCTCTGAATCTATAAGTCTGACTTTTATTTTATTTTGTTTACTTGTTTTGTTTTGTTTTTTAGATTCCACTTGTAAATGAAATCATGCAGCATTTGTCTTTCTCTGTGTTACTTATTTCATTTAACATAATATTATCAAGTTCCATTCATGCTGTTGTAAAGGGCAAGATTTCATTTTTTTTTAGACTTTATTTATTTATTCATGAGAGACACACAGAGAGAGAGGCAGAGACACAGGCAGAGGGAGAAGCAGACTCCATGCAGGTTGCCTGACGTGGGACTAGATCCTGGGACTCTAGGATCACGCTCTGGGCTGCAGGCGGCGCTAAACCGCTGAGCCACCTGGGCTGCCCGATTTCATTATTTTTTATAGCTCTGTAATATTCCATTGTATATACATACAGCACACTTCTTTTCATTCATCAACTGATGGATACTTAGGTTATTTTCATATCTTGGCTATAGGAAATAATGCTGCATTGAACATAGGGTGTATATGTTTTCAAATCAGTGTTTTTGTTTTCTTCAGAGAGATAGCCAGAGTGTAACTGCTCGATCATATGGTAGATCTATTTTTTAATTTTTTGAGGAATCCCCATACTATTTTTCAAAACAGTTGCATCAATTTATATTCCCACCAAACAATGCTCAAGGATTCTCTTTTCATCCTCATCAACACTTGTTATTACTTGTCTTTGTGATAGTAACTTTTCTAACAGGTGTGAGGTGATATCTCATTGTGGTTTTGATTTGCATTTCCCTAATGATCAGTGATGTTGAGCATCTTTTCATGTTCTTGTTGGCTATCTGTACTTTATCTTTGGAAAAATATCTATTCAGATCCCCTGCCCATTTTTTAATTGGATTGTTTTTTGTTGTTGTTGCTATTGGGTTGTATGAATTTTTTATGTATTTTGGATATTAACCCCTAATCAGATACATCATGTGCAAATATCCTTCCCTCTTCAGTAGGTTATCTTTTAGTTTTGTTGATGGTTTCTTTCACTATACATAAGTTTTTTAGTTTGATGTAGTCCCAATGTTTATTTTTGGTTTTGTTGTCCTTGATTTGGAGTCCGATCAAAACAACAACAACAATAACCAAATCCTAGAGATGAAGAATAGAATGGCTGATCTGAAAAATTCAGGAGAGAGATTCAACAAAAGACTTGACCAAGTGGAAGAAGAACTCAGTGAACTTGAAGGTGGATCTTTTGAAATTATCCAGTCACAGAAGGAAAAAACAAAGTGAAGTGAACCTCTAGGATTTAGGGGTCGTCATCAAAAGAAATAATGTATGCATTGAGGGAATCCAAGGAGGAGCAGAGAGCTGGATAGGAAAAGAAAGTCTATTTAAAGAAATAATGATGGGGGCAGCCTGGGTGGCTCAGTGGTTTAATGCCACCTTCAGCCCAGGGCATGATCCTGGAGACCCAGGATCGAGTCCCACATCGGGCTTCCTGCATGAAGCCTGCTTCTCCCTCTGCCTGTGTCTCTGCCTCTCTCTCTCTCTCTCTCTCTCTCAAATTTGGGAAAAGAAATGGAATTCCATGATAACCTAGATTTCTTTTTTTTAAAGATTTTATTTATTTATTCATAAGAGACACACAGAAAGATGCAGAGACATTGGCAGAGGGAGAAAGAGACTCCCTGCGGGAAGCCTGATGTGGGACTCGATCCCAGGATCCAGGGATCACCACCTGAGCTGAAGGCAGACCACTGAGCCACCCAGGTACCCCCAGATCTAGATTCCTAAGAGAAACATGAACATCCTAGAATGGGGAGGGCTGGGTGTTAATGCTGAAAGAGCTCTGTCATTAGGGGCCGCGGTGGCTCTACTATGGATCCTGCTTCAAAAAATTGCTGTATGGGAAACAGAAGACTTTCCCTATGAATTGAGGCATTATAGATTCTACAGTACACAAGGGGATGCCACAGAGGAACATCAAAAACCATGAACAAGTCAGCACCACCAATGGAGTGACCAAAAGAGAAGCTTGGAGACATGGGGCTGCTGGCTTATGGATCTAGACAGAGAATTGATGCAAGAGATAAAGCCACATCTAGAAGCAAGCAGAGACTGCTCTGATAGCAAAGGCAAGAGGGTGGGCAACTGTCTTACAGTAACTGGAAGTTAGATTTTCCCTGGGGATGGCTGTAACAGTGTATCAGCAGCTCAGGGATGAACACTGGTCACCTTAGTAATGCACAGGGCAAACTTCAGCTAAGAAGGTAGGTGATAGGGGCAAGGAAATTAAGGAAAGGCCATCCTATGAAAGGCAAATGGGAGGGTCTCTTCGAGATCTAAAGCAGGAAGCAAAAGAGTGACCCCACCAGGTGACAGCTCCCCCAGCCACTGCCCCCACAGGCTGCAGTCTCCACAGCTCCTCCACTTGCCCCACCCCTCCTCAGATATGCCGAGGAGCTCCCAGCTCTTTCTCAATATCTGGGCAGTAACCGTTGAGGTGAAAGAGGAAGAGAAGTGGGCACAGCGGGTCCTGGATCTTGGAATCCACAGATGCGGGTTGCATTTGCAACAGGTGTAGACCATTGTGCAAATGCTGGTCTTCCCTGGAGCTCAGATTTTTGGACATCTCGAAAATACAGACACTGATGATGCCCCTCAGCTCACGGGGCTTCAGGGTGGGGTACGGGTGAGGTCACAGACTGAGGGTGCTCTTTAAACTCTAAGGCAATATGTGTGTAGTATTAACGAATATCGGTGGCAAGTTTCCAGAACCCTGGTGGGGGTGAGAGTGAGTCAACAAGGAAGAAATTGCCCCACCTCTTGAAAAGAGCTCTTAGAAGACCAGGGCCGGGCGGCTCAGGTTACAAGGCAGGTATAAATAGCCAGTAGCTGCCAAGGAAAGGCCAGTTGGCCTGGAGGTCCTGGAGTCCCAGAAGAAGCAACCGTGAGTGTTTCTGTCCATTGCCCTCATTCTGTTTGCCCAATACCCGGTGACTGTCTCCCTGCCCCTATGGCTCCTCTATCCTACTGGTGCTGTGGAGGCAGGGTCTGTGGAGCTGTTCTGGTCTAGGACGTAAGGCAGGCGGGGGGCAGAGGAGGGTAACGAGGAGTGCTCTTAGGGAGCCTCTCAATGCTCCCTGTGCTCTCTGGGCTGGGGGAAGGTGCATCAGTTGGATGGCACCCACTCAGACCCCAGACACCATTGTCTGGAAGCCCCAGTGGAAGTGCTAGTTCAACTTCTCTCTTAGTTCCTCTCCATTTCTGATTTCTTCAGAAAGAACAGTGGTAGAGGAGAAACAGGCCAGGTCTCTACAAGCCGGGTCCTAAGCCCATCCAGGTTATCAGCTGCCTGCAGGGCAAGGACATCATGCTTCTTTCTTAGACTCAGATGTTTTACTTTAAAAACTAGACTTACTGGACTAAGTCACAAATTTTCCAACCAAGTTTCAGAGGAGTCATTTTCTTTAAAAAGAAAAAAAGAAAAAAAGAAAAAAAAACTTAATCTGAAAGTTTGGCATGAGCACTGGAGGTTGAGGGGGCTGCTGTGGCTCTGAAAGCCAGTGAGTTAGCTGCCTTCCCTCTACAATGGGAAGTGATGCCTTCTGTGGCATCTTGAGCTGGGGGGGCAGACTGCCTGTTGCTTTTCATACTTCCCTAGATTCAGGGTGCAGGGCCCCGGAGGTGAGGTAGCTGCAGGCCAGGGGATAGTGTCCTTGCTCCGGCCTGGGCCCTTTGGTGCTCATGACCACAAGTGCAGTGAAGCAGCCGCCGCTGGCTTGGGAGCTCAGCTGGGTGTTTCTAGAGCTCCCAGGATGCCCAAGGAAGTGGTGAATTCAAAGCTGAAAGAGGGTACTGAACAATAGGGATCATCTCGCCCAGAATTACCAGCAGCTGTGGCAGGCACTTCTTGGGCCAGGAAAGCCCCTTCCCTGCCAGCACCTCAGCCTGCCTGGTGACCCCCTCTTCCAGGCTTTGTGCCTAGCCCCTGCCCCTCCAACAAGCTCTTTCTGTGCTCATAACTTTGTAGTTTCTCTCTGAGAGAGGAAAGATGCCCAGTACTGGAGGTGACTCTGGCCCTATACCCGTCCTGGTCTCACTTAGTCCCCAGGTACTGGTCAGATGATAACTGGATGCCCTATTGGGCCCCTGCTCGTTCTTATCACCAAACTAGCCTTCTCTTGACTGAACCCGTTTCACATGTCCCCTTGCTCCATGAGGCCTTTCTTTCAAGTTCTCTTTGGTCATTGGAGCAGAATGGTACCTGTCCCAGGGGCTCTCCCGCTGCTAACTTAGCATCTCTGAGAACTTTCACCTGCGTTCTCTGTGAGAATTCCCTTATGGAGACAATGTCTAGCCCAGGGATGGCAAGTCACCTGGCAAACATGCAACCACATACCCATCCTGGGCACAGGACGGACATCACTCAGTGTTCAGGACTCAGACTGGTTTTCAGAATAGCACTGCCAACCCCACGAGTGCTGGTTAGCCAAGGCAGCCAGTAGGAGGAACCGCTTTGCCTTGTCAGAACTAAGCCAACCACTTTAGTAGTAGAGACAGAGAGGAGGGGTCCAGAGAGGGGAAGGGTCCTTCCCAGAACGACCCAGTGAATCCTCCTGCTGTGACATGGGCCTCAGTGAGGAATTCTACATCCTAGCCCCTGTGCCAATGACAGTGCCCTTGGGAAGGCCCAAGAAAGGGCAACATGGGGCATCTGAGACCTAGCTGGCTACTGCTCTCAACCCATGTCACGAGTTCCATCTGGGTAACTCATGCTCTCCTGGGCCAGACCATATGCCCTCCTGGGCCCTAATGTGCTTTGGGAGCCCTGCTGCTCTCAGCCCCACACGAGGGAGGGGAGGTGGAGAGGTGCTTCAGGAGCCGGGCCAAGCCCTAACCGAGGTCCTAGGACCAAGAGCATGTCCTTTCTTTTTCTGTTCATCTGCCTAGACCATGCTTCTCCTCCCTCTCTCCGTGCTGATCCTGCTCACACAGCCCCTGAGGCCACTGGGAGCAGAAGTGAAGACCTATTCCCAGAGAACAGCAGCCAACACCTGCACCCTGGTCATGTGTAACCCCGTGGAGAATGGCCTGCCTGGTCGTGATGGACGGGATGGGAGAGAGGGCCCCCGGGGCGAGAAGGGAGATCCAGGTAGGCTGGGACCATGGGCTTTTCCTGGTGGAAAGCGGTAGGTATTGGAATTGTAACCAACCCAGAAATGCTGGCTGTTCTGCTGTGGAAGGCTCGGAGGTGGACTTCCTCCTCTCTAGGGGTTGGGTTTCCCCCAGGCGTTTGGTCCTTCTAAAGCACTGCTTTACCAGTTGAAAAATGACTGACTGCCCAGAGCTCCCAGGTGCCTCATTCCATGACCAGCTGCCTTGACTCCTCCCCTGGAGTCTTCTGATTCCTCTCACCGCGAGAATGAGGAAATTGTGGGCCCATGGACTTTGTAGCTCTCCAGAACCTGCTCCAGGACTTAACAGTTGGTCATCTAGATGAAATGGTGTCTGTGAAAGGTGTTAAAAACTTTTAATATTGCATGAAGGATGGGAAAGAAAGAGGCTCTGTGGTCCCATACTCAGGTCTGATCAAAAGGATTTGCACTGATACCATTATGGAGAGAAAAAAAGGGAGCTCACATTTCTTTGTCCAACCTCACGCTTGGGTGTGCACTGAGTCATTGATTTAACCCTCCCAAAAGTCTTACAAAGGACGTATGACTCTTATCTGGCAGGTGAGAACATTGTGACAGAGGGGCCAGATGACAGCCCATCTGGGGGGGAACAGACATGGGCCTCTGCATCAGGCCGATCTGTGCCTGACTGCTAGCTCTAGCTCCGTAGCAGGGACCCAGGCCTAGGGCAAGCCAGAGTCCCCGAGCCTCAGTTTGCTCATCTGTAAGTGGGAATGAGATCTCTCACAAAGTGACAAATAACTGAGCCAAGGCTTTATTTTTTGTTAAGTTGTTAGGATCAAGTTGCACCTTCTTTCTGGACCCATCGGGTGAGGTCTTGTGAGGTTCCTGAAGGTACTGGTTATTAAGGGAATTATCCAAGAAGGATCTGGGTCTTGGTGGCAAAGTGTCAGAATTCAGTGAACTGGCAATTAGGACAACAGGGGACTCCCCTGCCCCACCCCCCCAGGTGCTGGGCTAGAGCTATGGAGGGATCTACTGTGGTCTTTATCTTTCAGGACTTTGCATTTTGTTTGGGGAGGAAGGAAACTAACAACATTTTTTAAAAAGATTTTATTTATTTATTCATGAGAGAAACACACACACAGAGAGGCAGAGACACAGGCAGAGGGAGAAGCAGGCTCCCCACAAGGAGCCCGATGTGGGACTCGATCCAGCGTCCTGGGATCATGCCCTGGGCCAAAGGCAGATGCTCAACAGCTGAGCCACCCAGGTGTCCCATGGAAACTAAGAACATTTAAGCTGGAAAGAATGGGTAACGTCCCCAGGCTTTGTAGGATAAGGGACAAGTGCTCATCTGTCTAGCTGTCCATCCTTTATACTCAGGGAGCAGCTCCCAACATGAATGGCGAGGGGCCTGAGGGGAAGGCCACTTGGATGTGCACTCCGAAGAAGGGTGGTATTCAAGGGTCAGCATCTTGGAGAGTCCTCACTCTCTCTAGCCCTCAGAGGGGCCCTCTCCTACAGTCCCCCTGTGACCCCGCAGCATTGAGCGTGGCTGAGACCTACCTCTGGCGCGCAGAAGCCTCCTCCCACCCCTGTGCACATTCCAAGCCCGGCCTTAGTTCGGTGCTTGGAAACCAGGGGGACCAAGGGGACCAGGCTGCCCTCTGGCTCCTGGACTGCAGGTGCGCTAGTCGCTCAACCACTGTGAGTCTGGGAACTCCCCGGAGAGCTTGGAGCTCCTCGGCATCTTACCCAAGTAAGTGTGGCTGGGGCCGGAGTGTGCGTTTATGACAACATCCCCCGCAGACGCGCAAGGTTCCAAGGACCTGCTAGAAAGGGCAAGATGGGCCAGAGAGAGGAGAGCCTAGAGCAGAGGTGGAGAGTGGAGTTGGGTCGCTGTGGTAATGCCTCGGGCGTATCATGGAGGGCCAGTAAGACCCCACCTGGCTTTGGGGGCTCTATGTCCAGGACAGTCCCCTTATTCCTCAGCACCTACAAGATTCCTGCAGTCTTTTGCAGAAGGATTCAGCAGAAGTGTCCCTCCAGGGGTGTGCATCTCCCTTGGAACAAAACCACATACTCCTCAGCAGCCCACTAGGACACTCCACCCCTGGCTACTTCTCTGACCTCACCTCCTTCTACTCCGGCCACTCTGGCTCCTTGCTGATCCCTAACCACACTCGGGCCTCTGATGAATCAGGGCCCTCTCCCTGTCTCCCCATAGCTGTCCCTGTGGGTCACTTCTCACAGACAACCTTCTCCACTAGTCTGTCCCTGACCACCTTCCTTAGAAGAAACAGCCGCCCCCCCCCCCCGCCCCGCCCGTGACCCTCTCTGTGCTTTTTTTTTTTCTCTGTGGCACTTATTCTGATCTAATAGACCATATGTTGTGCACTTTAATTTTTAGGATCTGTCTCTATGCAATTGGGTTTAAGCTCCATGAGGAAGGGATCTGATTTGGGGTCTGCTTCTTTCACTGCTGTGTCCCGCCATTGAGGATGGTGTTTTCTGTGCAGCAGAAGTTTCAGCGAGTACTTGTGGGATGAAGGAATGTGGAATGAAAGGGAGAAGGGATTTACTGCAGTTAAGACTGGCCACATTGCTGGTCCTTAAAGCTTCCCTTCAGGTGGCATTATGGTACAGGGCTGGCCTTTGGGGGACACTAGGATGCAAAATTAGTGCTTTAGGAGGGATGGGGGCTTGCCGTTGAAGAGGGTGTCCCCTCATGGCCTCCAGGGCTTGTACATCATGGATGGAAAACCTCTACTGCTCCTTCCACCTGCTACCATCCCAGCCAGGGTGGAGCCCAAGAGGGGCTCAGCCTAGGGGAAGGACATCTCCACCCCAGCACGGTGCCCTGCTGGATATGGGATGTGGGGCCCATCCTGTAACCCTTTACGCTTCCATTGCTTTCCCAGTAAGGATCATAACCAGAAGCAGGACACAATGCCCTGCACAGAGCCTCTCAGCAACCCATCCCAGGGAGCAGTCCCCGGCCACCAGCATGTTCTTGCTCAGGCAGGTCTGGTCCCTCCTTTCCCTGGGAGCATGGTATCCAAGTCTGAAATGTCATTTTTTCCCTCTGTATGTCTCTCTAAATCTTCCTTGCTCTGAAGTCCCTTTTCTTCCTTTAGGAAGACAGCTCTGGGCATGTGTGTGTGTGCTGGGGTTGGGGTTATGATGTAATGGGATGAGGGACACCTTGTGAATTGTCCTCCTCACTCATTACCTGTGCCTCACAGCTGAAAATCCTATTACACATCCCATGCAGACCAGGGTCTGGTGCTGATATTTGCATCTTGCCCAGCACTGAGCACACGGTTGTATTCCATAGATGGTTTCTTAGTGAACAAGTAAGTGAATGAACAAGTCAGCACCACCTGTTAAGTGTCATTTCTTTTTGCACATGAATGTTCATAGCAGCTTTATTCACAATAGCCCAAATGCCCAGCAACAGGTGGATGGATGAACGAGATGTGTTCTGTCCATACGGTGGAACATTACTCAGCCATACAAGGGAACGAAGCACTGAGACACACTGCCAAGTGGATGACCCTCAAAAATGTCACTACAAGTTTAAAAAGCCCGATGCCAAAGGTCATATGTTGCATCATTCCATGTATAGGAAATGTCCAAAATAGGAGATAGAGACGGAAGGTAGAGTAGTGGTGTCCAGGGGCTGCGAGGAGGGCGAATTGGGGGTGGTGGTTTAGTGGCTATAGTTTCTTTCAAGGGAGACAAAATGATATTGAACTCAGTAGAGGAGGTAGTTGTACATCATGGTGAGTGTGCTAACTGCCACTGAATTGTGTGCTTTGAAAAGGTTAATGTTATATGAATTTCATCTCACTAAACAAGAAAGAAAGAAAGAAAGAAAGAAAGAATGAAAGAAAGAGAAAGAAAGAAAAAAGCAAATGAGCAGAACCAAGTATAAAATAAAAAAAAAAGGATTTTATTAATTTATTGGAGAGCCAGTGAGCGAGCACGGGGGAGGTGCAGAGGGAGAGGGAGAAGCAGACTCCCCGCTGAGCAGGGAGCCCTGAGGCAGGGCTCAATCTCAGGACTCTTAAGCACTGATCACCATTTGTCCCCATGAGTCTTTTGGGGGTAAATCTTGAGTAACTTCAGACCTTGGCAGCCTTTCTGGAGGTAACAGGTCTTTCTAAAAATGCTTGATCATTTTTCCAATACAAAAATAATATGTGGTCACTAAAGAAACAATAAGAAGAAAGTTAAAATTATCTTGTGTCACTAGGGAAGGAACAACTGGTAACAATTTTGTATATACTTTCCCTGGGTCTTTCCAATGGGTCCTGCATGTGCACATGCCCCACACACATCACGCACATATAGGTACTTATGAAACCGGATCACATTGCACATTAGGTCATAATTTGGTCTCTTTCCTCTAGGTTCAAGAGCATATTGCATTGCTTTTTCTTTTTTAATTGAGGTATAATTGACATATAACATTATATTAGTTTCCAATCTATAGCATAATGATTCAATATTTGCACATATTGTGAAATGATCACCACAAGAAGTCTTGTCAAAGTCCATCACCACACAGAGTACGTTTTTTTTCTTGCCGTGATAAGAACTTTTAAGATCTACTCTCTGAACAGCTTTCACATATACAATACAGTATTATTAACTCTAGTCGCCATGCTGCCCATGACATCCCCAGAACTTATTTTATAACTGGACATTTGTACCTTTTTACCACCACAAGCCTTTCTGTCCACTTCCCAACCCCACCTCTAGAAACCACCAATCTGTTCTCTATATCTATGAGTTTGTTGTTTTTGTTTGTTGGTTGGCTTATCTATTTAGTTTCTACATATAAGTGAAATTGTATGGTATTTGTCTCTCTCTGTCTGATTTATTCCATTAGCATAACGCCCTGAACATCGATCCACATTATGGCAAATGGCAAGATTTCATTCTTTTTTTATGGCCGAATAATATTCCATTGTGTGTATACCTGCCTTTTCTCCATCCGTTCATCCATCGATGGACACCTAGGCTCTAAGCCATCTCCATGTCTTGGCTATTGTAATGGCTCAGTGAACAGTGCTGCAGTGAACACGGGGGTACAGATATCTTTTTGAATTAGTGTTTTGGTTTTTTTTTAGATAAATACACAGAAGGGGAATTGCTGGATCACATAGCAGCTCTATTTTTAATTTTTTGAAGCTTCATTCTGTTTTCCACAGTGGCTGTACCCCATTAACATTCCTACTAACAGTGCACAAGGGTTCCCTTGTCTCCATATCTTGGCCAACGTTTGTTATCTCTTGTCTTTTTTTTATAATAACCATTCTAACAGGTGTGAGGTGATATTGCAGTTTTGATTTACATTTCCCTGATGATTAGTGCCAGGTGTCATTTTTTTATGTGAACTTTAGTTCTGGGGAGGGGAGAAGAGGTCCATGATCAACAGTAAATGCTGATAGATTGCCTGTTAAAAATGCTGACAAATTGCCTGCTATAAATACTATGGACAAGCCAAGTCAGATAAGTCTTGGCTTGAATCCACAGCCAACTGTGGCCAGCCAATTTTCTCACCTGTAAAAAGGAGATGTGGACACCCATTTCCTGGACTACCATTGGACCAAGGAGTATGGAGATGTATGTCCACACCCTGTAGAACCTTGAAGGCATGCAAGGAGCCTGACTGTACAGGCAGCTGGCACCTCCTGGGACTAAGGTCAGATTAATACCCATCTCTTCTGCCACTACAGGTTCGCCAGGAGCAGTGGGGAGAGCAGGGATGCCTGGACCAGCTGGCCCAGTTGGGCCCAAAGGAGACAATGGCTCTGCTGGAGAGCCTGGACTGAAGGGAGACTCTGGACCATCCGGTGAGCAGCTGGGCACGGGATGCAGATGCCTGCAGGTGGTGCTGCTGCCACTGGGCTCTGCTGATAGATGTGCGCAGATCCCATCCCAAGAAGAAGGCAGAAGGCTGTTCTGAAGGTGGCTCTGGGTTATTTCAGGGAGTACTAGAACTACTGTTGGCATCATCTTCTATAATGCTGCTGCCTCTCTGACTTCTATCATTCCTCTCATCTTCTCATGTACTTCCACTTCCAATACAATTTAGAGTCACTGACTAGGCCGGTCCTTTTCCCCAGGACCTCCAGGACCTCGAGGTATGCCTGGTCCAGCTGGCAGAGAGGGCCCAGCTGGGAAGCAAGGGGATGCAGGACCTCAAGGCCCACCAGGTCCACAAGGAGAAGCTGGGCCCAAAGGTAGGTGGTTGCTATGTGGCTGGTCTGGGAGGGAGAAGGGAGGAATATATTGACAGTCCAGGAGGTGACCTAAGGCAAGCTCAGAGTAGCAGGAAAAGCCCAGACTGTCAGCCCTGGGTAGGCCACATCGTGGCTCCTTCCCCCCACATTCCCACATGGATGGTGTTTTCCTGTTCACCTCCATGGAGGAACCCCAGTAAGGAGCACCTTCTCCCCAGGTCTCTGTCCCCCTGGAGCAGTGGGTGAAACCTCCACTACTGAACACACTCTCAGTAGCACTTGTCCCAATTTGTTCCTTCTTTAGGAGAAGTGGGTATGCCTGGCAAGCAGGGGTCTGCAGGGATGACAGGCCCCACAGGTGTTAAAGGAGAGACAGGTGCCCCTGGTGAGCGTGGAGCCCCTGGAGTTGCTGGGGAAGCAGGTGAGTGATGGAGGGAGTGAGGCCTGGGCTCCGGTGCTCTTGTGTCCCCCTGACACTGTCTGTGGATGGCCACCCCTCCACCACCGCCACTTATCGTGTCAGAGCTGGTGTTACTGTGAGGTGGGGAGAGTCTATGTTCAAGGAGGGTGACTGCTGGGCCCTGGGAGCCATCTGCATCCAGGGAGAGTGACTTGTGAGCAATAGCGACAGTATGGGTGCTGGAGTTTGGTCGTTGGGTGCTAGGGCAGTGTGTGGAGAGGGTGCCTGGCTGGGTTGTGGGAGCAGTCTATAGGGGAAGGGGTGCTGTAGGCCAGTTGGACAATTCAGATACGGGAAGGGTAAACATGCTGGAAAACGTGTTCAGAGCTCAACCAGCTCTTCTGTGATCCCAGGACCTGCTGGAGCCATGGGCCCGCCGGGACCTCCAGGTGCCAAAGGGTCCCCTGGACTGAAGGGGGACAGAGGTGCTCCTGGGGACAGAGGAGCAAAGGGAGAGAGTGGGCTTCCGGGTAAGTTGGTATCTGTCAGATTTGGGAGCTCCCACGGGTGGGGGCAGGGGGAGGGAGGTGGCACTCTTTCTATCAGGACAGCCTATCTTCTTGGACTTCAGCCCCATTAGGCATGGGAAGTGGGCGGAAAGCAGGAAAGCTAGCTGGCAGGCAGACCGGAGAATTAGGAGTGAGGCTAGAACCCCAGGCGGCTTTTTCTTGATCAACTAGGGAAAGCATATTCCCCTTCCCAATGCAAAGGATAGCTTTGAGTATCAAATACCCCAGTGGATGGGAAGTGTCATGGGGTTTAGTGTCCATGAGGCACAGGGACCTACTCACCAGTGTGTTCATAGCAGAAGCCACAGGAAATCTGGGGCCAACAGGGATCAGCTGTGTCAGCAGATGGGCTTCTAAGGACCCATCCCGGCTCCTTGCCCCACCCCCGGTTTGCACCTGCACCTGGGCACCCTTCCCTGAGGCCTAGGCTCTGAGCTGATCCCAGGCTATGCTGGGCTTACCTTCCCTCGGCCTCTCTCTTCTGCAGACATCACTGCTCTGAGGCAGCAGGTGGAGGCCTTACAGCAACAGGTACAAAACCTCCAGAATGCCTTGTCTCAGTATAGGAAAGGTAAGTTCCTGGACCTGAACAAAGCCAGGCACCAGGGCTAGGCCCTCGACTGGGTCTGGGCCTTGGTTTGGCATTGGCTGGGCTTGGGTCTAGAACTGGCATGGGTTGTGACCATATTTAGGGCCGGGCCTGGCTCTGGGGCAGGGTCTGGGGCTGAGAATAGGGCTGGGACAGAGCAGTGCAGCCACATACTCCAGGATCTGGAAGTAGATACAAGAGACAAATAGGAGGATGTGCCCATATCACCAGTTCAGTGGGGTGATGGAAGTATGGTGGAGGTTATCCAGGTCCGGGATGCCCCCCAACATCATAGCCACCTGGGACCCGGTCAATGCCCTGAGCCCTGTGCAGTTCAGCAGACCCTCATCCCTGCCTACCCTTGGACCCCAACCCAGGAGGCGTTTCTTACATCTGTGGGACCCGGGGTGTGAGTGCCCAGAGATGTTGCTTCACAGCCCAAGGCAGCAGAGAAGCCAGACGCTGTCCCGAGAGCTGGGGCTGGGATCCTGCCCTTGGGACTCAAGGCTGGTGGGGGCCTGGCCTTGCTGTGTGGCCATGAAGCACCTCACCCTGGACATGCCCTTGATTCTGGTCCTTGGGTATTTTGAGCAGAGATTCTTAGACCCTGGAATGCTGCAGAGTCAGGGGTCCCCAGGAGCACACCCCTGAGTGCCCTGTGCCTTTAGGAACCCCTCTCAGTCCTTGGCTGCCCCTCCTCCTCCTCTGCTCTCCCCGAGTCTACATCATTCATCCAACCTCCCTGATCCAAAAAACAAAAGGAGTTTTCTGAAGGGGTAAGGGGGCCCGACTGAGTAGGACGCAGGGCTGGCCCTTAAGTACCAAAGTCTCAAGGATGAGAGTTTTAGGTATTGGGTAGTCTTCCTCCCTCCACAAACGTATTTGTGCGTGTTCACTCTGCTGCAAACCAAGGGGAACATGTGCCTGGGCACCGGCCACGTGTGTGGACACCGGCCCTAGGCATCACTGACCCCGCACCATGACATACGTGAGCACGAGCAGGTGTGTACATGTGCATCTGGGTGGTTGGTGCTGCCATGGACATTCACAGGGTTCGAGTGCCGGGAACATAAAACCCAGTAATGGCTCACAGACCCTTGCCCTGGTCCTGTCCAGGGTGCTCTGAGAGCCATCCTGAGCCTGTGTGGAAGCTACTCAGAGAAGGGCAGTGGGTCAGGGAGCAGCCTGAGCCCTTGCAGCCCGGGGAGGCCAGGGCACAGCCCTCGAGGGAGCCCTGAAGATTTCCACGCCTGAGTCCCAAGCCAAAGGGATGGGAATGGCATGAACTGAGAAGACGTACTTGATATGTCACAAGGGTGATGCTTCTGTGAAGTGGGCCCCCGCTTTAGAATCGAAGAATCAGAAACCCTAAAATGGAAGTAACTTCCCCCTGCCCCCCCAGAAGCCATTGTCAGGCCGGAGTGGGACACCTGGCTTCCGATTCCCAAATGGGGCTCTCCCAGAACTGATGCCCTCGACCCCCTGCCACCTGTTGGGTGCCTTCATCCTCCTGGGACCCAGCACCCCGGGGAGGCTGACTGGCTGGGGGCAGGGCCCACGTGGGCACCAAGGAGCCAGTGTGGGGCTTCAGTGAGCGCAGGGATTAGCACCCTGGGACTCTCAGGCATCCCCTTCCCCCACCAGCTCAGACGCAAGGTCTGTTTTTCACACTCTCAGAAACTGCTCCAGCTGCCACGCTGTCATGTCCCTGGCCAAAGTCCTCCCAATCCCCCTTGGCCCCAGCATACAAAGTGGGGTGAAGCAGAAGGGGTGTGTCCAGCTCTGGTGTCCCAGCAAACAAGGGTTAACCCTAACCCTGCATGTGATGGGCCGGTGACCCTGGGCCTCTTACTCAGCCTCCCTGAGCTCCAGTGTCCTCCGCTGTAGCTGCAGGCCACAGGACCCCGCCCGGGGTGCACTGCGTGTCAGGGCTGCCTGGGAACCAAGCGCCTCGCTGTCGTCCTACAGGGGCTCTGACCCTCCCGGGGGAGGCCTGGGGTGGAGGCTCCGCTGGGGCGCAGAGGCCTGGGAGGCCCTGAGCCGGGCCCGTTGCCGCCACGCCCCACCTGCCTCCCCTCCTCTCTTAGTGGACCTCTTCCCCGACGGCCGGGGTATCGGGAAGAAGATCTTCAAGACGGCGGGCGTGGAAAAGAGTTTCCAAGAGGCACAGCAGCTGTGTACGCAGGCGGGGGGACAGGTGGCCTCCCCGCGCTCGGCCGCCGAGAACGAGGCCCTGCGGCAGCTGGTCGCCGCGCAGAACAAGGCTGCTTTCCTGAGCATGACCGACGCCAGGAAGGAGGGCACGTTCACCTACCCCTCAGGGGAGCCTCTGGTCTACACCAACTGGGCGCCGGGGGAGCCCAACAACAACGGCGGCTCGGAGGACTGCGTGGAGATCTTTACCAACGGCAAGTGGAATGACAAGGTCTGCGGGGAGCAGCGCCTGGTGGTCTGCGAGTTCTGAGCCCGGGGGGTGCGGGGGGCCTGGCCTGAGCGGCCCACACCTGCACGCGCCCGGCCGTCGGGGAGGCCAGGAGGCTGGCCCTGCACGCCGCTCCCGGCCACCGGCGTCACGCGTGGGACACCTGCCAGAGGAAGAAGGGCCCGCTGCTTTCCCAGTTGCAAGGAATAAAGTTGGCTCCCCAAGACCTCCCGGTGGCAAAATCCAGTGGCTCTCCTCTCCTCCTCCAGCTGTCAGCCAGGTTTGGCCAGCTGGCGGCACCCTGGCCTCCACTCCTCCTCCTCTGAGCTTCCAGGGCGGCCTCTTGCTTCCTGTCCTCTCAGCCTCCTCAGCCTCTTTCGCTCCTCCCGCCTCCCCCCCTTGACCACTGAACAGAGACGGGGGCCTCTGCTCCCCCTCTGTTCTCTCCTGGCCTGACTCTCGCTCTAGGTGGAACTCATTCTGTCCAAGGCTTCGGATTCCTTCTCCTGACAGCTTCCACATGCATGGCCCTGTTTGGGGGACCTCCCTAAACCCCAGGCTCCTCCAGCCAATGCGAGCTGTAGCCCTGGGGCGCTTAGGCCTCAGTGGCAGCCTCCTGCTTCCAGGCTGGAGCCCAGGAAGCAGCAGATAACAGTGAGATGACCTGGCAGCGAGCATCTGCCTCCCCTGACTGCACGGCCTTATGCGGGGAGCCTGGGCCTCATCCTTGCAGGACCCAGGATCTCTCTCTCTCTCTCTCCCTGTATCATTCAACTGTCTCTTGGTTTACAGAAGGGAGTTCCATCCCCACAGCCCTAGATCGATCTGAAATCTCAGACATGGAGGGAGTCTGACCATGCTCACATTTATCCCCACCTGCTGTCTGGCCTCACAGTTCCAGAAACGTTCCTTCTCCACTCTGCCCCAGAGGGAATCTAGTCAAATTACTATATTATGACAACTGTAGTCTAGCTCCTCATTTTACAGTTATGGAAACCAGGACACAGAGCAAGCAGGGGGTGGCGAGGCCACAGGCAATGCCAGCGCTACAGCTCAGTCATGACAAAAGTCATTTGACCTCAAAGCTTACACTTTTGGCCTGTAAGTTTGTAGGCCAAAGGCCTCTGTATCAATTTAGTCAATTTTATTGACACACTATTGCAAAAAAAATTTTTTTTGTATTTTCTTTCTAAAACTTTTTAATTTTAATTCTAGTTAGTTAACATACAGTGTTATATTGGTTTCAAGTGTGTAAGATAGTAATTCAGCACTTCCATACATTCTCCTGTGCTCATCATGATAAGTACTACAAAAAATGTAAATGACACCCATGCTTAAGGGATTGGAATGACACCTGGATGAAGCATAAACTCACAGGAGAGGGCAAAAAATGTCATCCCTGGATAGAAAGCCAACCACTCTCTCCTTTGTTCCCAGAGACCATGAGATCTGCCCTTTCTGGCCCTTCCTCAATGGGTTCCCCAGATCCTCTGCTCAACATCCTACAGCCACATCTCATACATAGAACAACATGCCTGAAAACAAAAGCTTCATCTCCCATCAGCATGCAGCTCAGGCTCTCTGCCAAGATCTTTCTCCTGTCACTAAAGAAATCCCCAATTCCTGGCAGCTTCTGAATGTAAGTCAGTTCCACACTAAGAGTAAACAACTCTCCAGCACAGAGGCCACACCTGGACCCACTCATTGAGGGAGATTAGAAAGACCTTTAAAAAAAAATTGCAAGTAAGAAAAACAACTGAATCTAGCTTTAAGCAAAATACGAACATTTCTTCTAAGAACAGAGAGTCCTGAATTGGCCCAAGGAGGACGGGGAGACCACAGGCAGCATCGTGCTGTCTCCCTGGCTTCTGCACCCCACCCCCCGGATCCTTGCCTCTTCCTCCTTCCACATCAGCTTCCTCTTCTTCCCAGGCCCTTGACAGCCCAGCATGGGGAAACATGTGTCACAGAGATTGCCACACAGAGATTAGAAACTCTTGCTTGATAAGCAATTCAAAAATCCTATAAAAATAAATCTCTTTCAGATGCCTGCCTCTGGTTCAATCACCTAAACTTGGAGGTTGGGACCACACAGGACAATATGGCCACTGGGATCCATGTAAGGTCATGGTAGTTTGGGCAGACGCTCTACGCATTGCTACGCTTAAGTCCTAAGCCTATTTCTTAGTGCAGAAAGAGTGCAGAACTCAGTAGGAAGGAAAGAAATCTATAGTGTTGAAGGCTGGGGATGCAGATACCCAAACCCTAAGAAGAGGATCTATCTGCACTGTGGGGCCACAGTGGCCTGGTTTGTTCTTTGGCACCAAGAACACGGAAGAGGCCTCCTTTGCACTTATATCACAGGCAAAAATCAACATGAATCTTAAACATTATTGGCTCTATCCCAACTATAGTAACCATGGTCCTGGTTTCGTAGCCTAGGTGCCAACTGAATCCAGGGCTGTGTGATTCTTACATTCTCGGGACATGTCATGACTCTCACGTGCCAGGTGACCTCGTGCGAGCAGGCTGGGATCCTTCCATGTCTGGACGGGGACAACCACAGCCGTTTCATAGGCAAACCCCTGTTCAGTTTCATAGAGGATTCTCAAGTCATCCCCTGGTTCTCAACCCTCCCATCACCAAACCAGCCCACATCCCATGATGAACAGCCAGTGGGGAGCCCTCTGATGTTTGCTTTTTCAGGATCCTAGCTTTGTTCTGAATTCCCTTGACATAAAATGGAATTGCTTTATAAAAAAGTGGAGTTGCTTACGTCAGGGCATTCTCCATCACTCTTACCTTCTGGATGTCCATAACCCAAAGTTAACAGTGTGCTTGATTTTTCAAGCTACCTATGTCTTATCTACAAGAGCAGAGAAAGCAAGTATCTATCAGGAGCAGTAAAATATGAATTTATATGTCAAGTGTTTGTCCAGGCACTGGATTCAGAGATGAAAATAGCTGGCTATGCTCTCCTAGATGCTGCAGCCCCGCACATCCATAACATTAGAGATAAGCTGTGGAATGTGTTACAGCAATGGGCAATCGAGATCCTCCATAAGGATCCAGAAGGAGCGGGTGGCTCTAAAGCCCTTAGCCAGGAGAACAGGGAGTTGTCTCCTTGTGCAGTCGCCAGGCTGCTCAGACTCTCACTATTGTTAAGGAGAATCACCTGTGATAGAGGCCTCTGGAGGGCTAATAGCAGGTATTTTGTTGATTCTACTGTTTCCCACCAATATTTCAACAAGAGAGGTCTTACGAAGGCAGGCCTGGGACATGTGTCACCTCTGGGTAGACGCAGATGAGGACTGGTGCACGTTCCTCAAATGCCCTCTACTCTGCTGTCACTATGATTGCAGAAGCATTGGTGGCTATAAAGTTACGGTACAATCTGGCATCCTGGAAGCCTGAGCAAATTCAAGGAGAACAACCGCCCTTGTGGACTCAAGGGGATCACATGGACCCACTTGGGCTCCAAGTGAGACTTGGGGGTTGTTATTGCTGCACCTGTAGCCCATCCTTCTCCATGACACCTTGAAGAGTAGCTGCCTGGCCTTGCCTTCAGTGCCTTCCATTTCTTAACCAGTGTAGTCTCTCCAACTCCCTGGCTCAGACAACTTTGAGGGACAGAGCGACTCATGAGGGCCCTGCCTGGGGAAAATGGTACTTTGCATATTTTTTAGTACCTCGACAGAATGAATGGAGTAAATACATGAAGGAGTTGAGTGAATGAAATCCTTAATTCCCACTTGCAAGTCTGTGTGTTGGGATAAATAAAGTGTTTTCAAGATACTTCCAGGCCCTTTGATCTGAGGAAATTGCACTGTGTTTTCACCACCAGGCTTTCTGACCTTTTAGGAGTTCCCTGAACACTGCATTTCAGGTGTGAGTGGCTGAGCCTAGGCCAGGCCCGAAAGGTCAGGTGGCAGCCTGGGGCCGAGCACAGGCACTCTGTGACCAGAGGGCTGCAGGGGCAAGGCAAGAATGGGAAGGAAAAACTGGGGCTGGGTTTTGAGCCAGCCTCCTACTTGGCCGCCCAGATGCCTACCCATCCCTGCCCACCCACCCAGAGGGAAGTGAGTTCAGCAAAGACTCCATCCCAAGTCCTATGAGAATCTCATCAAGTGATTCCCAAGCTCTTAGGAAAGAGTTGTTCCTAAGCTGTCCTCATCCTAGAACAGTGAGAAAAATTTAAAAATAATGAGAATGGGGATGCTTGGGTGGCTGAGGTCATGATCTCAGGGTCATGGGATCAAGGCCCACATCCAGCTCTGCACTCAATATGGAGTCTGTTTGTCCCTGTCTCTGTCCCTCCCTTCCCCCACTCACATGTGCATGTACTCTGTCTCTCTCTCAATAAATAAAATCTTAAAAAAATAAAAATAGAAAAATAATGAGAAAGGATTTGGTCATCTTACATTAAAAAGTTTTTTTAAGGATTTTATTTATTTGAGAGAGAGAAAGCATGAGATAAAGAGCACGAGTAGGGAGAGGGCAGAGGAAGAGGGAGACACAGGCTCTCCACTGAGCAGGGAGCCCAATGTAGGGCTCAATCCTGGGACCCTGGGATCATGACCTGAGCTGAAGGCAGATGCTTAACTGATTGAACCACCCAGGTGCCCATTAAAAGTTTTTTTTTTAATTTTTATTTATTTATGATAGTCACAGAGAGAAAAAGAGAGAGAGGCAGAGACATAGGCAGAGGGAGAAGCAGGCTCCATGCACCAGGAGCCCGACGTGGGATTCGATCCCGGGTCTCTAGGATCGCGCCCTGGGCCAAAGGCAGGCGCCAAACCGCTGCGCCACCCAGGGATCCCCCCATTAAAAGGTTTTATAAAGCTAACCTACTTAGTGTATTAGTGACACTGAAATAGAGACAGCATTGTAAAAACCCACCAAGCCCAAACACAGGTCCAAGGATATATATGTATATACATATATATCAACCTTGCATGATGAAAATAGAGTATCAAAATAGTAGAAAGATGATGATTGCTCAGTTACTAATGCTGAGGTAAATGGTTAAACATTTAGAGGAAAAATAAAATCAGATTCTTTTACTTACATATACAAATCAAAATCAAAAGAAAATGTAAGCCATGATTTCTATAGTCTTGGAGAGGAAAAGAGCTATCTAAGAGTGGTATCAGAGAAGAAAACCCAAAACAATAATATTGATAAATCAGACCAACACAAAAAAAAATACATAAAACTTCTCTGCCAA